CGCTTCCTTTTCGCTGTCCGGATCCAAAATCTTCCGTATCAATTGCGTTTACGCCCTAATGATGTACTGCTGTTCATAACGGTAACGGTGCTCGTGATACAAGCAAGAGATTTCCTACTGATTTGCGAAATCGGTATAACCTGCAAAATGTTATTTCCAGATGCTCTGTGTAAAATACAGCAGGAGGCACGGCGTCTCGTTGCTGTTTAACCTTATTCCAAGGGCTCTTTACTCGCGTCGTAGCGACCGAAGTACGAGCTCCTACAAGATCATTAAATCCAATGGCGATTCCTTGGACGGTGAGTATCCTTCTTGATCTCTAATGATTCGTTGTATCATCAGAATGGAAGAATGTACTTAACATATCGCGAGAGATTCGTGTATAAATTTTGGGTATTTATTTAGAAAATACCCCCTCTTCGATTCGATGCGTTTTTGCATAAAATGAAAGAATCTGGCAGAAAAAAGTGTCGCTCTGCCTCGTGAACCGAGATAATAATTAAAGTTGATGACTGTTCAGGTTAGGAAATCTGTCACAGTTATCAGAAAAGAATCTTCTCTGTCATGTGACTTTCATAAAAATTGAAGTGGTGGGAGATGTTTTAAATAAATACCGCAATAATAACCTGACTTATGACCATTTTCTTCACTTCTAAGTAATTTTTATCCAGGAGATATTTGTTGGATAAAGTCATCTGCAACTTATCTGAAAGTAAAGCAATTGATCATTAATCATTGAATCATAATCTTTTACTGTCATAAATTGCTTTTATAAAGCTTATTCGTATCTGAACTCTGTTTTTATTTATTTTTCTGTTCGACATCTGATATACACCTTTTTTTTTTTAATGTATAAAAGTATAACAGTACAGCTACAAAAAAAGACCTATAACTTGACCTGATACCTACTGTAAAATTTTTGAAGTCTTTGAAAATATGATCTTATATAAGTGTATGTGTAAAGTTATATTTATTATTTATATTTGGTATATTGTAAAAACACAGATATTGACAACAGCGTTTTGGGTGTCAATTCCAACTGGGAGTTGTTAACACCAAGAGGCTTTAGATTTTATCTTCCTGGAAGTATAGGACCTGCATGGCTAGATGCTACAACCACTGCCCAAGTTAAGACTCAGTTTGTCAAACTGTGTGACAAAGAAGAGTTTGAATTAGAACAGTTGAACAATAAAAATAATTATCAAGAAGATGTAGAAAATTGGGAGACTATACGGCCAATGTTGGACTGTGTGGCTCAAGAATGTCCTATTCTTCTACGAAAAAGTATAGAAGAACTATTCCCAGGATGTTTAGATGTGACTATGTCACATTTAACTATTATAACTATTAGTCAGAAAGCAAATCTCAAGTCGATGAGTTGGCGTAAAGAAACAGAAACAGAAAAACTTGCGAAATATGTAAGTTATATATAATAAATATATATATCACTTCTTTACTTCTGAAATGACACATCCAAAAATGATTTTTGCATTATCACAAATAAAATAAACATTATTCTATTAATCATCAAAAGTAAAAATAAATATTATTTCATCAAAGACCATCATATAATACTTTAAAAAGGTGGTCTAATTAATTAAGTATACAAAAATTAATTCAGTGTTTTCACATTTGATGTCTTATAATTTCATTTAAAAATTTTCAAAACATTATATACAATAATAAACGACTTATTAGGACCATATAATGTGAACACACAATAAGTAAGAAGCAGTACCTATACTCGTCGAAGAGAGCTGGATCTTGGACTTTAAATAATTTTGTGTAAATTTATATACCACATTTGTAATTTCTCGTTAAAAAACCGTTACATATTTTGACAAACAGAGTTGACATAATTTCATGTAGTAATGAATACAATTACGTCTGAAAAGTAACATTTGAAACATTATATTCTTTTCATATTAAAATAAAAAACTATGCTGTTAAAGACATGGAAATGATTGTTTTGTTCCGGATGAAGGAAGTAAACCATAAACATGCAAAAATAATTTTAATTAAATTTAAAACTATTTTTTAACTATATACATTTAATTATTGATTAAAGATTAATATCGATCCACCATGGCAAGTAAATACGGCAGTTGAATTTTGTTAACAGCTAGTCATGCAACTGCAAGGGGACATGTATTGGACGTTGTTACCTTTACTACCATTATCACCATCGGTTAACAAATGTTGGAAGAATTGTGGTTAGATTTGAGAAGTAAATAAAATAGCGATTAATTCTTACGAACTTTTAATTTAATGACTTCAAAAAAACATTTATACTTAAATATATTTAACTATGTTTATATTAATCATATTATATACCATTGCGATCTTTTTTATTTTTAATTATTACTTGTTTTTAAATTGAGAATGATCCAATGAAGATTGAAACGTTTGTAATTTATAACTTTGTATTTCCAAATGAATTATTCAAATATTAAAATTTAATAGCAAATTTTAGTACTTAATAACCTGTTTTGACTTGTAGCCTTTATTCTTTAATATTGTTTTTATCGATTCAAAATCGCCAGTATTTTCCGTAAAAATTTCCAGCTGCCCAATAAATAGAGTACAGTTACATAAAATGTAATAAAATGTTTTAAACATAAATTTTCATTTAGTTTTTTTTTTTTTGAGAATATATTTTGAATTTTATATGATAACACTGAATTAATTTATACATCTAATAAAATCATTGCGATTGAAGGATGGTTTTTTTAAAGTTGTGAAATAAAAATAGCAAAAATGACATTTGAAAATATATTCTTTTTACTAATATTATTTAATTGGTCAATAATTTTCTATCAACTTTATAAACAATTTTTCCCTTTTCTGGGAAATCTAATTTTTTTTAATTGTGGCATTTTTTAAATAAAACGCGCGCGCGATATTTTATAAGTTTAAATATATCTACATGCTTAGGGAAAAGATATTTATATTTTATAGTCTACTAGTTTGTTCTAGCAGCCTCCGACATATGTACAAAGCTCAAAATGGTTGGTTACTGGGCAGACTTTATTAATCCTTTTAGTGGACAACCCTACTTGAGTCCAAGGAAGGGCGCCAATTTGTACGAAACTGATGAACGATTTCGCTGTGTAGGATTTAAAGTACAACAGAAGAACAACTGCAGAATTATTGTTTCTGATAGTAGTTTACAAAATTTTATTGGTATGTAAATGGCTATACATATGAATATATGCATGGTTGATAACAATCAGCAACAATCAAGATACAAATATCTTCTTATAGGAAAATATTTATCATATCTAACTTACATTGCAGTATTCTGATTTTTTTATTAATTTCAGGAAGTCTTTACACTACAGCGCCGGCAAGCACGGAATTTTTAAAACAAATAATAAACGTTGATAACGAGGATTAATAAATATGTGTATATATGCAAAAGAGGATTTAGTTTATTTATATATAATAAATGATTTTTTTATCATTTTAAAAAGTCTTATGCGCCTACAAATAATCAATCAAGATACTCGATTTAAAAAGCAAGCATAATCTGGTAAATTTGACTTCTTATTATGATAAATGCCTATTGGTACTGCACTAAAGGAAATGCAGACAATGTGCGTTTTATCTCTTTCAATGCCCACGAAGTAATGTTTGTTTAACAAAGAAAGATACGTAATGTTATTAAATAAATTATTTCAAACATCTTATTTGGACAATGATGAACCTTTCTCAATAGTCATGAATAAAATAGGTTTTTTTATTTAGATAATGTTAATACAAATTAATGAAATTATTCATAAAACTATTATTTCTATCACACATCGTTATTTTCTTTTTAAACTAATAAACATTAAACAAATCGTAAAATATATTGAAGCTTGTGTATTCATCACAAATTATGACCGACACCTATCTTCTGTAAATACAGAATCTCTCTCCCTCTCTCTTTTCATGTTAGAAAAATCAAATCAGATTTACATAATTCCGCAATAGATATTTGAATAGCGTCAATTCAAATATAACTATAAAGTAAACTAAAAATGTTTAAATAATTATTAAATATGTTTTACGAATTTAAGGGAATCTGTTGTCAAGTTGCCGAATTTCATTATTCATTAAACGATAATATTATAAAATAAAAGCATTATATTAAACATTACAAATCTTAACGTCTTCACGTAACTAACAGTTTTATTTCTTATAGTTTAAATGTATGTAAAACATATTAAAAAATGACGTATTTATATTTGCAAATGCGCGTTTCGTAAGCAGATGTACTAACAATAAAAAAAAACTTTTTAGTATTTGTAACTATAATTACATATTACTGTAATTATAGTTACAAATAATGCAATGACGAGAAACGCTAAAGTTCAGTTTATACGATCTATAATCTCCATGTCAGTTAAATAATTAAAGAAAAATCAGAATTAATAAAATATACAATATAAAAGAATATGTATATATGCGTTAAATTTCTATCTTAAAACCTGACACGAATTATAGGTCAATAAAGTGTAAGCTTAAAAGCATCAAACCAGAATTTATAATCTTAAATTAATCAAAAATGACTTATAGATCATAGGTAACTTGGTACCACCAGCAGAACGAGTATTAACTCGTATGAGTTACGAAATCTTAATTATTACAAAGAAAACTTATGTACATATAAGCTATAAACGGGTACTATACACACATATTTCGAGGTATTATATTATATCTCTCTCTCGAAGTAAATTTTCGTACATTTCATATACAGATTGTAACAAGTTATTACTTAATATTACCTAATTAACTTTATTTTTTGTTGTTTATACCATAAACGGATTTAAAGAGAGAAACACATCTAAGAATAATCATGTCATTAAAACCAGCTAACAATTGTTGATGTATAAATCGCTTATACGTACGTTTAACGTGCTCACGATCTCTGTGTTATAATAATATGTTTCTACGATTTTTTTTTGGTAAAACACTTGTTCATTAATACGACGATTAATCGTATAACATAAAAATAATTATTTAGATAAGGTGCTAACAAAGTAAAGTTGTAAAATCGTACTAAGAAACAGATTCACGCTTTTAATCGACCTCCAACTTTCGGAACGAACCACATATTCCGCTTAATTCTTCCTTAGCCTCTTGATAATATTTCGGTGATATTTCAATACACATATCATCGAGGGCCTTGAGTTCATCTTTCTTCTGTTTTAGTTCCTTCTTAAATTCGTCTAAAAGATAGATAGCATGTTAGGGAACAATATGTGTACAATACAATTTAAATCTACTTGAAACAGTTGAAACTTGAAAGAATTGCGAAGAAAATCTTCGTACCGATCATTTCCGAAAGCGAGATTTCCCCGCCATATTCCTTCGGCAGTATCTTTGGGTCCACTGCTTCTTTTAGTTCCTGTACGTTTCTATGTATCTGTAAAAATTGCAAATATATGATTTGTCGGATGTGTAAATTTAAGCACAGTCATATCGAAATTACCATTTTGCGATATTTACCATAACGCGAGACTTGAGCTTGTCGTTTAGTACAGATAAGCCGAATTCGAGGATCTTCGCTACGCTACTGGGTACATTGATTAAATGCGTCTCCTTGTGACGCATCGGTGTACTGTTCTGTATGCACCTCAATATATTACGAATGTCCATGAAGGATAACGTGCTGAAATGGCTCATGGACAATCCCGCCTCGTCATTGAGATATGTATAGCCGTGAACTTGACTTTTCTCATCATCCATTAAGGTCTCCACCACCATACTGTGGACCCGGAGCATCTGTGCCGCTGAGAATTTACTAGGGTCGAAACGTCCTTAAAAAAAAATGAAAATAAAGTAGAATTAACATCTAATATATACTTGAAAATCAATCATTTGAAATTAATGAAGCAGAATATCATGTGCTTAATAATAATATCAAACACGATAAATTAAGAATTTTTTTTTAAATTAGGCAATTCTCAATATAATGATAATTGAACATCAACAATTAGAAATGTGTATAGTTCCACTTGATGTTTTTAACACTCGCATACAATGTACATAATTTCAACCTTGTTTAATATTTGATGACAAGAAAGAGATAAAATGATGTTCGCAAGCGTTGTGAACATTAAGTGAAACGCACCTTGGAAATGTGAAAATAAATGACTAGCTGTGTTTATATGAACGTGGAATGCCGTAGATAAATGCTACTTGAATGTTGTGTTAAACATAGGAAAAAGTACGATTATTTAATTTTGATTAAGACGAACAAAAGACATTTAATTTAATAAATTTAGGCTGGGTCGTTCCACCTTTTGATAAACTTCAACTCACTCTCTAACTCTCTTTTATGCCTTTACTCTTTTATTCTGTTGTTTATTCATTAGATAAATTATCACATATATATATTTTATGAATTATCCAGAGATGGAACAATCAGTCCTTAATTTATCAAATATCATCATTTAATGCGTCTTAAATTAGTCTTTTGTACTTGTAAGGATTTTTCTACTCATGGGATCGGTACCTGCACATGACAATATTACTTTCCGGCCACGCTGATCTCGCTTTAGCATTGGTACTAAATAACCATTATCAATGATGGCCATAAGTTCCGGGTCATCAACATCGAGATTTTGGAACCAGTTGGGATAAAGTTGCCTGATAGTTAGATACTGTTCCAGCATCTCCTGTGCCATTGGCAAACTAAATTTCTTTGTCCTAAGAAATCTCAGTAGGAACAACGAATCGGTTCTGCACTTCTTAATCATAGGATGTTTCTCGATCCAATGACGAAATTGCTCCAGCGCTTGGTCTCTCGTATTGTCATCCTCACGAAGCTCTAATCTAGCCGTTTCCAGCGCGTCTGCATCCAGTGTACTCTTATATTCATCATATTTCTTTCGCTGGCTTTCCGATACCATCGTCTAAAAAGTAAATTAACTTGATATATATCCTATCTGGATAGATTTTTCATAGTTTTTTGGTTGAATAACATTGATTACAATTAGCAGAAAAAGCAGTTTTACAACTGTTGTAAAACTCTTTAATATGATTGATTATATTGTGTATTTAGATTCAATAAGACACACACTAAGGGCAAGATTAATCATATATAAGAATTTTACAATAAGGCTTTTCGTTACTTATGTACTTATATCGATCGTGGTTTTATTGTTTAAAATTTAACATTTTTTAAATCTTTTTTTTAAACGACACTGTACATACATAATTGCTGTTTTTGCCTGTAATTTCTGTACGCCTCCACGATTTGCACAATTTACATTTGTATCACAATTTAATTTAAAGAATTAAAAAATCTTTTTATATAAAATAACAATGCAATTATAGTTTCTTGAGGCAGACTTCTTATTTTCAAACAATCGCATTTCTTAGATCATTTTCAAAAATTAATATTCTTTTTATTATAAAATCTATTTTTTGTTTTATGAAAATAAAATAAAAATGCAAATTAAAAAAATGGCTTAAGAGAATCTAACTGATATTAAACTGTTTGATTGAATATTCTTTCAATGGAAAAATAAAAAGAGTTTCACATACGCATGCATGCACACGCACACATATATTGTATTATTACAAACTAAAATATATTATCATAATCTAAAATTTAATTGTTATTATTAGTATTTTCATGTAAAATTAAAATATTGGTTATAAACATTAGATTTTTTTGTGTAATTAAATAGACATATTTAACATACGGAAAACAATGATAAATGAGAAAATTAATCAAATAGCGAATCATGGTCAAATTATTCCGGTTCGCTAGCAGTTAATATGGCATAGAATGTAAAGAGAAAGCATCAAGTATAATATAGAGACGTTACAGCGCATAGATGAATAGAGAATTATGTTAATACAGCCAAGAAAAATTCCTATATAGACATAATTGTTGATTAGCATTAAATTTATTTAAAATGATAATATTTTTTTTCATCGTAATGTATCTTCAAATCAATATGAGGCTTTCCGTCTTACATTGCACGATATTCATTTTATCATAGTAATACTTTATTCATGTATTAATAAATTAAATTAATTAAACCTTACGAACAGTATGTTTAATTTGTGATTATTAATGAAAATTTTACATGTAATTTTAATGTAGAAGGAGAGATGATTGTAAAAAAATCTATTACATCTTCTTTATCAATTTTTATATTATAGGAATCATTTATATTGTAAGAAGGCTAATTTACATTATTTCTCATAACAAACATGATTTAATGTTTTAGTAATATCAGCTTAAAGTTACATTCTAATCAAAATATTTAGAATCAAGTGCATAATTTTAAATATTACACAATTTTAAAATTAATTGTATTGAGCATTTTCGTTTGCATGTATTAAATTATATTGCGCATTACTGTGATAATTGTATAAAAAATTTAATTAACTAGAGGTTAATTTAACTCGCAGGAAAATACAAGCCTTTGATAACTTTAATCAACATACAAGTTGTTAACAAAAGTTCTCTTTCATAAAATATAAAAATATTTTTTTTTTAGCTCCCCTACGTACTTTGAGAGCCTTGAGTCCGAAAGCTATATTACTCAATGACAATTACTTAAAATTCTGCGCAAGTATGTCGATACTTAAGCGGTTCGTGAAACGAAAGTGAGACATTGCATTGGGAAGAAGTAGTAAACGAAGGGGCTTTGCTGCTGCAATGAGAACACGCGCGTTTCGCGGTGTGCTATATTCACCGTGCGTTCAGATCCGACTTTCTATCCTATCACGATACTCAAAGTGCAATACCGTATAAACGCGATATCGTTTCTATTCAAGACCACGCCATGAGAGAACGGCGTTGTAATCCGGTGGCATTGAAGAGTTTTTGTAACGCGTACCTTAAATTGCGTACGCTGAATTCCGGAACTTCTATGTTCGATTCAACTGTTAATTAATATGAAAAATTTTTAGCTTTCTATTACACCATTATTTGTCATTTAACACGTTTATTAACGTTTATCGTAACGAAATGCGTTACCACAGAGAATCTCTATTGCCAATGAAAAAGACAGCACACTATAAAAAATATTAGTGTATATTCAACACTATGCGGTGTCTATGCATATATGATACATACTTTAAAATTTTCACCGTGTTGGTGTTAATATTAGCAACATGATGTAGATTTATAATCCCTAGTGTTTATTATATTAACGCCATCATGGTGTGTATTTAAAACCCATGGTGTTAATATTAACGTAAAGAGAATTATATAGACATCGCGCATTATAATGTTAAATCCACACCGATATTTCTTAGAGTGTACTACCGCGAGAATATTAACGTGCGAACTTGATGGACGGGTTACATTGATCCACTTTTACCACTCACGCTCGCCAAACACACTTTTGCAAACGGATATACCGAGAGTTAATCCTCCATTTGAGAGAAGAAGCTCTAAACTGCGTTTTATACAAGCTATAATTCAATCTTTCAATTAAACACGATCAATTTTATAAATCCAGCATTTTGCTCTTGGGTTTTTTTGATGTACGCTTTCTCTTTTTATTTCACTCTCAAGCATTTTCCTTTCCATTAAGTGCGAAGATCAATTCGCATTTAAATGGATACGCTTTCGATTAACTTATTAAAGGAGACAAGCTCGTTCCAAAATGTTTCCATATTAGTGAGCATTGTTGTTTAATTACTTTTTCCATAGATTTTACCTTTAATTTGCTATTACGTTCATTGCACATAATTATAAAAAACTTTTTTAGATTAATTATGCACTTATTCATAACAGTAATTAATACTTAGTTAATATTCAATTTGCTGTTTTTAATCTCTTCTCCCCGTGACGATCGCTCTGTTCCTGTTTCCCTCGCGTTTCTTCAGTTGTTGCTTGTGTAGCTGATTGTGAGTTTTTTCAAGTCGAAATTATCTAGCTGATTTAGAATTTTTTTAATTAATAATCCACAAAAAGTTGCACTATCTTAATTCCGCTTGATGATAATATGCTTTGAACTTATTCAAGAAGATGTAACGTCGAATTTTAACGCGCAATCACCAAGTTTAAAACAAGAAAGATCTCGACTGTTGGACGATGTACACCAAAGTAACCCGGTTGCTCGGCTGGCTGGTCAATTTAAGTAGGGATCGTCGTGGTGGTGCTAACTCTCGACGTAGACGAACTCTCAAGACCTTCACCTACATCTTTGCATTCTTCGTTTCAGGAGCGAGAGATAGTATTCGCGGAAAATGTCTTCGCGTATTGTATCGCCATATACAAATATTCTTAAAGTATAATTAAAAAAATACTTAAGAACAATAGTTGTGTCAAAAACCGAAAGAAAATCCTGCTTTTATTGTTTCCACTGAAAAGAGGATAATTAATTTTTATTCATCATCATTTATTTATGTACACAATTGTTTGATAAGATTGAAGTCGATTTTTTTATTATACCGTTATTCTTCTATAATTTTACAGAAATATATTTTTAACACATTATTAAAATTCTTTTTTCTATCTTACTTATAAATTAATTTTTTAATTCTTTTTAACACTTACACGTATTATAATTGATAATTTGTATAGGTTGGGAATTATAATTTATTTATCAATTATGAAAAATTAAAAATTTATACATCTTGATACATTTTATAAGACGTAAATTTAATAGATGACACACATTATATGAAGACTACATTGACATGCGATAGGAATTCTGTTCATACTGTAGTGTTATAAGGATATATAACATTATAAGGAAATATAACATATAGATTATCATTAATATTTGTTCATTGACAAGAATCACATTAATGGTTGAAACGTTCGTATTGCAATATTTTTACATAATTTGTATAATATAAAATTACATATTAGCAAACATCAACTAGCTAGGCTATAACAACTCTACTTTTATATATTTTGAATTGTATTCAACACAACCTATAACATATTATTATAATGCTTTATTATTGAAATATTTTGTAAAAATAAATATTCTTATCGATTATATTAACGATTGATGTTTAAAATCGTGATCAGAATAATTTCACGTTGCCTTTTTCAATATTTTATTATTATTAATGCAAATTTTAACACACACTTTATATACACACGCACGCAAATAAGAATTGTTCTTATATAAATCTCAAAATTCTCTTTTTTTTTATTTATTACATTGCTTTTTTTTATTACATTGCTATAATAAAAACATAAAATAAAATATTTTTTCGAAAGAATTCTTATTGAAATACGATTTATGCATAAGAAAAAAAAAGATTGGCTGCTGCAGGAAATTATACATAGATAGTAAAATATGGCATAGCATTTTTAAGTGGTTATAGCAGCAAATTAAAAATAGATAGACTATGTCATATTCAGCCAATCTTTGTTCAGTGTCAGGATTTTTTGTTAGGATAGTATATTTTAAAATAGTCAATATTATTATTCATAAGTAGGTATTTGTGATGTTTACCACATATTTCATAATATCTCAAAGCTAAATCAAATATGTTGTTCATTATATTAAATATTTTATATAATATAAACTATCAACCATTATACATTTTCAAAAATTCATGGCGTTTGTGTAATACTGAAAATTAATTACGCATATTTTTATAGATCAAATACGATTTCAAAATATTGATATAAAAATTAAGTAATTTAAATAACCACAATTACTTTGGAATACTCTCGGAATTACGTACACGTAGTTACTCATTTCAAGTCGAATCTTGAAGCGTTTGTCCACTGTCCCCTCCCAGTACCGTTTACCGTTCGACGGTCGCACCGCCGATCACGCGGCTGGATATATACCTCAGGAGTGTTCCTCAGTAAAAAATATGCTGGTAGCGTACTTTTAGAAGAAACTTGTAAAAATTTTTCTTTTAACATAATTTTTATAATGACAATAATGTACGATAATTAGGATTTAGACAATAA